GGTTTTAAGAGCTTAAAACCGGGGTTTAAGAGCTTAAAACTAGGTTTTACGCTTCTCCGAGGCATTTAGCTCCTGATTGGCTAGTTTGCTTATAATTTTAATTAATTTATGCTAGTTTCTGCGGGACTGCGATACAGTTCCTGGCGCGGAAAACGAACAATGAGGGGAGAAGCTGGTGGAGAAGGAGAAAGGGGAGAAGCTGGTGGAAAAGAAGGAAGGGGAGAAGGGAGAAGGTGGTGGAGAAGGAGGAGGAGGAGAAGCTGGTGGAGAAGGAGGCGGGGGAGAGGCTGGTGGACTAGGAGGAAGGAGAGAAGGGAGAAGGTGCTGGAGAAGGAGGAGGGGAGAAGCTGGTGGAGAAGGAGGAAGGGGATAAGGAGGGGTAGAAGGGAGCTGGTGGAGGAGGAGGGGGAGAAGGGAGAAGCTGGTAGAGAAGGAGGAGGGGGAGAAGGGAGAAGCTGGTGGAGGAGGAGGAGGGGGAGAAGGGAGAAGCTGGTAGAGAAGGAGGAGGGGGAGAAGCTGGTGGAGAAGAAGGGGAGAAGGGAGAAGCTGGTGGAGAAGGAGGAGGGGAGAAACTGTGGAGAAGGAGGCAGGGGAAGAGTAGGAGAAAGGAGAAGCTGGTGGAGAAGGAGGAAGGGGAAAAGAGAGAAGCTGGTGGAGAAGGAGGAGGGGAGAAGCTGGTGGAGAATAAGGAAGGGGAGAAGGGAGAAGCTGGTGGAGAATGAGGAATGGGAGAAGGGAGAAGCTGGTGGAGGAGGAAGGGGAGGAGGTGGTGGAGGAAGGGTAGAAGCTGGTAGAGAAGGAGGGGGAGAAGGGAGCTGGTGGAGGAGGAGAGTTAGCTGGTCCTCCTTCTCCACCAGCTTCTCCCCTCCTCCTTCTCCACCAGATTATCCCTTCTCCCCCTCCTCCTCTACCAGCTCCCTTCTCGACCTCCTTCTCCCCGTCCTCCTTCTCCACCAGCTTCTCCCCCTCCTCCTTCTCCACCAGCTTCTCCCCCTCCTCATTCTCCAGCAGCTTCTCTCTTCTCCCCCTCCTCCCC